AGGAAGAAACTAGTGAAATGCTACATTTGGAGCATAGCTCTGGTATGGGGCTGAAACATGTACACTTAGGGTAGTAGATTAGAAACATCTGGAAAGTTTTGAAATGTGGTGTTGGAGAAGGATGGAGAAGATCAGTTGGATGGATTATGTGAGAAATGAAGAAGTGTTAATTAGAGTCAGTGAGCAGAGGAATATCCTACATGAAATAAGAAAATGGAAGGCTAACTGGATTGGTCATGTTTTACGCAGAAACTGCCTTCTAAAAGAAGTTATTGAAGGAAAGAGAGAGGGGCGGATAGAAGTGATAAGAATACAAAGAAGAAGACGTAAGAAGATGCTGGATGACCTAGGGGACAGAAGAGGATACTGTCATTAGAAGGAGAAAGCTCTAGATCGCAATAAGTGGAGGAATTGTTTTGGAAGAGAGTGTGGACCTGTCGTCTGACAGATTACTGATGATGATGATGATGATTTATGTTTATTTAAAAATCTGGGATTTCACACTGCAGTTACTTGTCAGTAATTCACTTTTTGCTAATAGCTGTCAACAGAATAACTGAAATTTTAGAAATTAACATGGAGTTCTGAGAAGAATGCATGGAACTTTCTTTTTTGTATGATAGGGTTGAAGTCCTTCAGATCTGTTAGTGTTCTTGTTTTATTTCTGTGAAGATCATCTATGTTGAATTTGATTGAATAACATCAGATTTTTACATTATCACCATGTGAAATGTTTCTCATGTCAGCCATGTTGTTATATTACATTCTTGAAAAACAGAAGTTACATAGTTTTCGAAGATGTATATTGCATGAACATACATGCACACCATATTATTCTCATAAGCCTACTTTCTTTTGTTATGAAAGGAAGGTTAGCCAAAATTAACATTTGTTGCTCTGAAAACGAGAGATGAAAATTGATGTTCAATGAAATGTTTATATCACATCTTCTCAAACAACATTTTTTTCTCCCCTCTTGCTCCCAGTGTGGAGCATAGGGCTGATTTCTCAGTTTCACGATAAGTTTACGGACAGTAGGACTCCTTGAAGAGGTGATCAGCTTGTCTCAAGGCCTCTACCTGAACACAGGACATCACGAACACAGAATAAATGCATACACATACCAAACATCCATGCCTTGTGCGGGATTCGAAACCACACTCCCAGCTTCCAAGCGAGCAAAGACATTTCATGCCTCAGACTGCTCGGCTACTGTGACCGCCTCAACATAGATTCAGAGAAATAAGATGTGAACAAAACGAGATGGTAACAAAAGAATTTCTGTGTTTCAGCCCCCAGGACAGCCCATGATACCAAACAGCATGGACCCCACAAGGCAAGGTTAGTAAGGAGTCAAATTCATTATAAGAAAAAATAAAAAATTGCAGTTATTTTACCCTGTTTAAAATTCTACATTTTACTTCTTCCAGACATTGTGTATTTAACACGAGCTTATTACAAATATTTAGAATGATCAAAATATTTTATTGCTCATATTGGATCACTCTGAATATTTTTGTAAGAGACCATATCTCAGAAAGTAATGTAGTCAGGTGATATTTCATAAAATTGTCTTTAAATATTAAACATATGTTTCATCATTTCATGGTCCACTCAGAATAAACAAATATGTGGTGTCCACAATAGAGAATCTCTAGGTTGAATGGCATAAACAGAGTGTATGGGAGTTTGATGTTTTCAGGTTGTAAGGAGATCTTTGAGTTAGATGTACTCTTTTTGAATGTTTGAAAGAAACTGTGGTTCCGGTTGAATGCGTGTATGATAACATGAGGATTCTTCACCAGCAATGGTCGTACCAAGTCCAAGTGCACTACAGTCTGTACCAATATAATCTTCAAGGGCCAGATCAGCTGAATCAGTACAAAGCAGAAATCCATTGTTTGAGATTAAAACATCAGACTTCTGTTTCAAATTTATGCTGCAGCTGCCTGAGAAAATTTTATCACTTTTAGTCACTGTGAAAGCAAGTTTTGTTGAATCACTGCCATACATAAATTTCATGTAGTGGACAGTAGAAAGTAATTCAGTGTTGATCATGTTACATAATTGTATGAGTACTAATCACACCCCAGAATTATGTTAATGAAGAGTGTGAGGATTTATGAAGCATTTTACTTCAAATGAATATAAATGTGTCATAAAGGGAGAATATAAAGCAATAATGTGCTGCCATATGCGGTGTAGTCAATCACAATGGCCGTGTAGTATAAGGCATGGAGTGTCTTTGCCCGCTCAAATACTGGGATCATGGGTTCACATTTCACTCAAGGCATGGATGTTTGTCTGCGTTTATTCTGTGTTTGTGTGTAGGTAGTGGCCTTGCGTTGTGCTGATCCCCTGTCAGAGGCATCCTATCGACTGTCTAAGATTAAGAAACTGAAATGAAACGAAGCATTTCACAGATGCCCTATGCTCCAAGTGGGAGTAACAGGAATAGACAGACAGACAGAGACAGACAGACATGCAGTATATAAAGTTATCAGGCGTGTGATTTATACTTTTATGTCTTATTATTCCTTTTAATGTTAGTGATGGAGCAATTCTACCCTGGCAGAAAAGTGTACAGTGCTGTTCAGCCAGATAGAAAACTGTCACATTGATCTTTTTTCAAGAAATGAAAACTTAAGCGCAGAACATAAAGTGAAATTTAGAGGTAAAAAGATACTGACATTAACAGGTATGAAATACTACATCATTTTTCAGAATCTAATATTCAGGTGACTGTTAGTTAATATACAGCTGACTGACATTTTAATATGTGCTGACAATGAAAGGATTAGACCATTTTCAGGAACTCAGTTCAGTAAAGTATAAGGTTTCTTGATAACCAAGTATTTGTATAATGTCAGAACCCCAATAATATTCCTCTGTGATTATAATTGCAAACTCTTTTCAAAACCTCTGAACACCATTGGTATTGGTAGGCAAATCTTAATGATGCTATCTCTTGAAGAGACATAGAGCCTGGACTTGACACTGTGTTCAGTTTTACTATGGTAAATGGCAGAGAGAGTTCTGTGTTTCGACGCAACTGATAGAAGAAATGTAATTCAGCAGTTCTGGAACCATTGAGTCTCATGTCATTAGCCAGTTGTTGCACTTGCTGTTTGACAACGACTGACTGGAGTAAAGAATGTCTCAAAAGTGGCAGAAAAGAAATCATGCAAAGATATTCCGAGAGGAAGGAGAATATTGTGACATGCTGAGCTAGGGATGACGCCCCTCCCCCCCC